CCAATTTAATAGAGAGTACATCTGGTGTTTGCTTTTTCATTCCTGGGATACTTCTCTTAGGGTATTGGTCTCCAGTTCCATCCAAATTGTTGCAAATGGCCTAAATTCATCCTTTCTTATGACTGAATAGTGCTCCATGGAATACAGACACTACATTTTGTTAATCCATTCATGACTTGATGGGCACTTAAATTGATTCCATATCTTTGCAGTTGTGAATTGTGCTGGAATGACATTCATTTCTTCTTAATTAAGTCATATACACATAGATCATGTATACATTAATGCGTTTATGGGGTACAATGTGCTGAGTTTATAGATGATTTGGAATGCTTAGATCAAATTAGTTAATATAGGGTTTTACCTCATTTACTTAATTATTGTATTAAGACATTTATATTCTATACTTAGTAGATTTGACATGTACCCTTGTAATATACTCCATAGGTGTGGTCCCACCATTTACCCTCCATCAGACCTCCCCCCCTCTCATTTTTCATGGCAAGTAGCAATATCAGAGGTGAGGGTCGTATACACGTCTGGAATGAAGTTATTTAAGCTGACAAATGAGTTTTGTGAAGAAGCTACGCTGTGCTTTCAAAGTCACCAGAACTTGCAAGTTCTCACTTTGTCTTTTCTAGGGTCTGGGGCTCTCATTGCCTTCAGGCATTTCATGATTTATAAAAATGAGTGCGACCATGCCTGACTTCAATGCAACAGCTGTTTGCTTCTCCTCCCAGGCTGGAGATCACCTGGTGATAAACTGTTAACTCATAAAAATTAGTGCACTGCTTACTTGGTATGCTCGGAACATCATCTTCCCCTGGACAGTGGCAGTGCCCATAGAGATGGTCTTCATTTGCATCAATCATTTTCATGCGCTTTGCACTCAGCTACACTGGTATTCAGAGAAAAATGCTACCATGACAACTGCCACAACAGATGGTATTTGATCAGTCTCTAAGCTACCAAAGAGATATACAGCAGTGCTTCTGAGGTTTGCATATTTTACATTATCATGAGACCCAGTCCAGCCTTAATCATGATTGAAATGTGAACTTTTCCACTTGGTTCCTATCGCTCAAGTCTCTTTCCAGTTGTTTGGCATTTGTTTGGATTTTCCAGCACTCTGGCCATCCTGGGTGGAATGTACTTATTATGGATGTGGGAGACAAAGGTGGAAGTTACCCTGCAAATCTAAAGTGCAGAGACATGAGAAACTATTCAACTTTGGAGTGCAGGTCCCATCTGAGACCAGCAGACAGGCTTAATCACAGCCTCACTCACTTGCATAGGTAGAGGCCATATTTGGCCCCAAACAAGGGGATTCTGGTTTCTCTGCCCCCCTCTCTGCTGTGGGGTCTCCAAGCCACATGGTAGTCCCACTCTGGGCCTCCCACCCCAGCTAATGCTACAGATTCCAGCAACCTGATCCCAGAACCCTTGGACCCATTTCTATAGCAACAACTACAACAGCCTTCTTTCAGTCCCCAGCCCCCTTCAGCAACACTGGAATGTCAGACTTCACACAGATTTTTCCAGCTAATTTTGGAAAGTAGTTTATATTGGCCGCTACATGTTAATGAACAACTTTGATCGTATTTACATAGTTTGCTGGTTGGGAGTGTTTTCCTTCACTGTGCCTCCCAGCTTTGACTGGATCCTCATCTCCTGCTGTGTGTCTGGATCACACACAAGCCACACACGAGCCACGCACGGGGACATGCTTGTGCTATGATGAGTACTGGGTGCTTCCTGGGACATTGCCCTCTCAGGATGTGGAGGGAGTTTGCAGTTTCTGCGGTACATGAGATGGAGTGTTTACTTGTGCAGCGTTTGGAAGAAAACCTTAAGGTGAATTTTAATCACAAGATGCCTGGATCAAAGAAAATCTCCCCTTCTGATCTTCTTCCAAATAAACCCAGGAGCTTGAAGTCCACAGCTGACCCTATTCTGCTTCCCAGCCTTGCATAATTCCTGGGGTGCAGATGAAAGGGCGTGGGTCTCCATCGCCTTGTCAGGAGTGATTTTTAACCTTAATGGAACATTATTAAAGAGTGGATTTGAGACTTAAGGAATGCTTTTTGAACTCCTTCTGTGAACATAGAATTCACAGTAGAGAGGGAGAATTCAAGGCACTTAATAGGCATATGAATGATCTTTTAAATGATGATCAAGTTTTTATTTTTACTTTTAACATTTTCTAGGAGAGCAATCTAGCCATCTGGATCTTGCTCCCTGTATTTCATCTCCTTGTTAGAAGTAATCATTCTTGGTGCCCTGGGCCTCCACCATTCACCTAATGAAGGAAGAGCCTACTGCTACCCTTGTTTGTATGTCTGATTCCTCTTGAAATGAATGGTAACCCGATGTGCGTCAAATGGCAATATGGGCTCTAAAAAGGTGGATTATGTAAAAGCAAACTCCTGTGACAGGGAGGAGGACCTGCTGGGCTCCCTGCCCCCAGCTCTGCTATTGACATTGACCTGTGTAATCTCAGTCAAAAATCTGACCGCCTTACCTCACTTTCTCTATCATGAAGTAATTGCTAAAACCAACACTATCAAAAGAATAGAGTTCAGAAGGACCCCTCCTCCCATTGTGACAGCCCCAAATGTTGCCAGACATGGACAAATCATTCCTTCACTTCCATCCTTCCTCCCTAGCTAGTGGACAACTCCTGATGTAAATTACAAAAACATGCTAGGACTTAAAAGGAAGTATTTGGTTGACTTACTTACAATTATCCATCCTTCAAATAGAACTTGACATTAAAAGAAAGCCCAGCAGATGGCTGAAGTGAAATGTGTCAAGGCTAGCCCCGCAAGAGGATACTACTGTTCTTTAAATTATGCTGTATGCATTGAAGGCTTCATAAGCCCAACAAATGTACTGTGTGCTCGTTGGGAGGGAAGTTTTATAGAAATTACAGAGTTGTAGTGGAGCAGCACTGTTCTTGAATATGTTGGTGGGAATCTTTTCTTTTTCCTTTAGTGCCACTCTGTTGGGCTATTGCTGAAAAACTTAACCTACCCATATCAACCCACCTACATAACACTTCCCAGGGTAAACATCAAGTATACTATTTTTGATTTTGCAATAACAAAGATTCAGGATGGTCAACTTTTCTCTTTATTTTCCATGGGGACATAATGGCCCAAACCTTACTTTATCAGCCATGTGCCATGTGTTACATTAAAGAAGTAGGATGGGATTGTAGGAAATGATGAGGAATAGAAGAGGAATTTTATAATATTATCACTATTAAATTCTAGTGTCTCTTTTCTGGGGGCAATACATTCTTTGGAGTAGTTTTGGTACAGTGCCACTGTGATGACAGTAGAAATCAGGACTCAGAGGCTGATAGTTAACATTTTTTCTCACAGGCAGAGTTTCAGAGTATGGTAACAGAGCACTTAGAGATATAATTTTTATTTTCCTTGCAAACAGGAGCAGACTGCTCTAAAGGACCATCCACAAGGTGCTCACAGCCATTCTCTTCTTTTTTTCTTCCTCCTCCTCACTTCTCTGGAAGGTGATAGTACCGTGTTGTCATTGTCAGTCATTGCTGGGGCAGGACAGAGGCAAGGACAGATGCAGAGCAGCCTCATCTGTCTACATAAGGAATGATTGCGATGGTGGCAGGCGTAACCCTTAGTATCAGTATTTATTTAGCTTACAGGAAATTGCACTCTACCCCCTTTTTTTAGAGAGGAGAAAATGTCTCCCAGATGAGGACACTTGAAGGTGGGCTAGAGTTAGAAAGGAGATGGGAACCTGTGATAAAAACGTAAGCCTGGAGTAACTTCTAACCCGGGGTTGGGCAGATTCTGTAAGGTGGATACCGTTTTATCCGGGTGTCCCATAGATTAATGTAAAGCCCTTGGAAGATGCAAAGACTGGGAGTAGAGGAGAAAGATGCTGGATGTCAGTGGGAAAGTGGACACAAACTTCAGGAAGACTGGTTTGGAGCTAGATTCTGCTCAAATGCGAGCGCTTAAAATACAGACACTTCATACTTTATGGCCATGAAGGAGCATCAGGAAATTCCATGGGGATGGAAAATATCACATGTATACTGTGAAAGACGATCATGTATTGGTCCAAAATAAATTCAATGGGTTAAATACCGGTTTGAGTTCATAAAAACGTTGATACAGCCTGGGATGTCATGGGGTGGGCTGGTTATGGAAGGGAGTGAGTAGGGTCTCCTTTGTGAAATGCAAATTGTGTTAAATTCAAAGATCCTTGTTCCAAGTCAAAGCAATTTCTTTTATTTATGGTCACTGTTGACATTAATCAAGCCAGAACAGTTTTCTCTAAACCAAAAAATAATCAGCCCTGACAACTGAAGTCAAATTAGACCCTTGGGAAGGACCTAATTATTCTTTTCTATGAGGGCTGGACATTGACTTGCCCTTGGCCATGGCATTAGCCCTGGCCAACCTGGGTTCTGCCTGGTGAGTCTCTTCTTGCCACAGGGAGCAAAAGGGACAGGGTGATTCAGGAGATCGCAGGCCTCTCTGGTCATCTGCAATGTCTGTCATTCAGAGAATTTTGTGAGTAAACACTACCCAGGTTCCTGCTAAAACCCCCATCCTCTGTTTTTACATTTGCCTGTCTGCTTGCCTGGCTCTTTGGTGGCTGGAAACTTCTCCCAGCTGCTGGTAGATGGGTGGGTCCACTAACCTCATCCCCATCTCCATTTTTCTGGCAACTGCTCAAGCCTTCAGGATTGTACTGGTGACAGTGATCAAGACGAGAGAGCTCCAGTTTCTCTCTGGTTATTTTTGGCAGCCCTGAGCGATCCAAGACCTTCACTTTTGGCACTGTGCGGTTGGGATATTAGGTAACCTTTTCCTGTGCAAGTGTAGGCAAAGCAGAGTCCTAACCTGTGTCTGTTCATCCACTGGCTGTTTTTACAGCATTGTTCCTAATAAGACATGGTCTGGAGCAGGCTGAACATTTATTAAGTGTATATTGTTGTTTTTTCCCTGTAGATTGAAAACATAGATGCCTGCTTGAATTTCCTGGCAGCTAAGGGAATAAACATCCAGGGGCTGTCTGCAGAAGGTGAGTCAGAGCGCTTGTCGTGAAGCTGCGTTTTCATTATTAGAAGTGCCCACCTGTTACTTATTGATGATATTAAAATCATTTAGACAAGGGATGCCGGTTGGCTCTTCAGGTTGTTTTCCCGTAGACAGCTCAATGCTTGCCTAGACTTGAGGATGCCAGCTTTCTCACACCCCAAGGAATGACTCCAAGAATGCAGATTCAACCAGACCAGCCCCGTCTGCAAGACACTGAGGGAGTAATAAAGAGGGAGCTGGTCCTATTTGAGAAGGCCTTGCTTAAACAATGCTGATTTGAACCACCTGCCTAGTGATTCAGTTCATTATCAAGTCAGGTCTTCTCTGTGGGAGAGGGAATACTTAACCACAGAACGTATTTAATCTGCTCAGCTCCCAGGGAAAAATGCTTAATTCTTATCTCTTTTCTTAGATAAAGAGGCACTTTTTCTTGCTCTTGAAAAAATAGAAAGGCACGTGGTTTATTAATGCAATGCTACATATTTACATCCTGATTAGTTTTTAATTAACTTAAATGTGGCAGCTAATTAGCACATTAGCATTTGCCGGTGTTTTACTATTACATTCGGTATTGGTCTGGAGATGGCTGGTCCGAATTCTCAGCCTCCTCAGGCAACATCTCGGCCTGGAAACTTTCACTCTCTCTCCTGCTTGTAAATACAAGCAGCTGCCAGCTCAAAGCTGCTGTAGGCCCAGGCAACCTCCCAAGCTCATTAGGCTGCACCTGCCTCCAGTTTTCCCAGAACAGGTAACGCAGTTTGGGCTTCAGATGATAGCATCTTCCCTCAGCAAGTTTGCTTTTTGAAAGAATGCCTGTTCGCATGGACTCTGGAGGTCGGGGTGGGGCGGTGGGGAGCAGTGAGGAAGAGAACAGCCTGATGGATCAGGTGAGTCTGCAAACGTGATAGATCCCAGCGTGGGACTGTTCCTTGCCTTTGCTCTGCTCCGTGGTGAAAGCTTGGTCTTCCTGGCTGTGTTTCTGAGCTGCAATCTCTTCCGGTACTGGGTGTGGGCAGTATTAAGGGCCACTATTAGTGCCTGTGGGTGTGCCGTGTCTCTGAGTGGGACTGTTATTGGGAACTCTGATGTGCTGGGCCCAACCCCAGACAGGCATGAGCACACTGCACTGCTTTCAGAGGTCTCAGAAGCAGCTGAAGGGTGGTCACCCCTAATCCCAGAGGATTCCCCTGACCTAGGAGTGTGGGCTGTCATCTGTGGGGTTGAGATCAGGGCTGACTGACATGTGGAATACACATTGCTGGGGCAAGGGGGTGGGGGGCTCAGTGGTAGTAGGGAGGTGCAAATTCCTATTCTGGAGACACATAATTTCTTCCTGATAAAGAGTTCCTGTGCTGGCCAGTAGATGGCAGAACGTACTCTCCTGGTTTGGGGGAGTGATTGGACCCCATGGATAGGCCTGTGCCCATCCCCCTAGCCCCTGCACAGCACCAGCTGGGACTTTTATAGAACTGTGCTGGGCAGCAAGGCCTCAGACTGCTCCATCCTGCCTGGCCTGGAGGTGACCCCTGGCCACCCAGGAATCTGCTCGTTGTCCTGCCTTCTGTCATTTATTTCCCCATCTGCCCCATCCTCTCTGTACCTTAAGGCATAGAGAATCTATGCAGTAAATATTTATTGGGTGAATAAATGCCAACTGTGGTTTTAAGGATTTTTATCAGCTCCAGTTCTCACAACTGAAGCTTGAGTTTATAATAACCTCACTTTACAGAGGAAGCAGTTTTGGCTTAAAAAGGTTACGAGTGACATCCTTGAAGCATGTAGTTAGACATTGGCAGAGTGAGGATTCGAACCCAGGCTCGCGTGATTCCAGGGCTCATGTTCATGGTGTCTTCTGGGGCAGCAGATCTAGACATGCCATGTAACAGTGAAGAAATTCAGTTTAGAACTCCCTGTTACCTGGAACATTGTTTCAGGAGATGTCATGGCCCATGAAAGCAGACAGACTCTCAGCCTTCTGCCTCTTCTTAATGTTGGGATGACCCTGGGAGTCTCTAAGCATAGAAGAACACATTGTGTGTTGTGTTGTCAAGATACTGGAGTGTAGCTATGAAGGAGTTTTATGCTATTTCAATAACTGCCTTAACATGGCCATTTTGTACCTATCATTCCTGCTGAGCTAGCCAAAATCCATAACTCTTCAGTCTTGTTGAGTTATACAAAGTTTTATGTCTTTTTTTTTTTTTTTTTTGAAAACAGAGTCTCACTGGGTCTAGTGCCATGGCATCATAGCTCACAGCAACCTCTAACTCTTGAGCTTGAGCAATCCTCTTGCCTCAGACTCCTGAGTAGCTGGGACTACAGGCATGTGCCATCATGCCGGCTAGTTTTTCTATTTTTAGTAGAGATGGGGTCTTGCTCTTACTCAGGAATTCCTGAGCTCAAGCAGTCCATCTCCTCGGGCTCCCAGAGTGCTAGGATGGCAGACATGAGCCACTATGCCTGGTCTTTATGTCCATATTTTTGACTAGGTCTTGTTCATTTCAAAAGTTCAATCTCAAACTCTACTCAAAGACCTCTTTTCCCGTTTCCTCCAGTGCAAGTGGCTTCTGGAGCTTGAAGGGAGATGGAGGCATGATGGCTTGACTTTCTTCCCTCTTCCTCCTTCCTCTTCCCTTCTTCCTTCCCTTCCTCTTTTCTCCTTTCCTTCTTTCCCCTTCCTCCTTTCCCCTTTCCTTCTTTCCCCTTTTCCTTTCATCTTTTCTCCTCCCTCCTTCCCCCTGCCCTTCCTCCCTTCCTCCTTCCCTCCTTTCCCTCCTCCCCCTTTCCCTCTCTTCCTTTTCACCCTCTTCTTTCCCCCTCCTCCTTTCCACCCTCCTCCTTTTCCCCCTTCCCTCCTTTCCTCCTTCCCTCCTTTCCCCCCCTTTTTCCTTTTTCCTCTTCCTTGCTTCTCCCCCTCCCCCAGTTCTTGCCCCTGAGCCCCCAGAATCAGGGCAGCACAGAAGGTTGAAATTGCTGTCTTGGGGTAGCCATCACTGTCACTGTCGCAGCTGGTGGTCACAGCATGCCCTGCCGACTGGGACTTGTTCCTGTGCTACTCTGGCAACATTGGTAGTCTTCTGTGAGATCTGGCTGACCCTTTCACTATAGGTCCAGCAGGAACGTGTGGGCCTGTTTTCTCCTTGCAGTGGGTGGAACTGGAAGGCCTCCTGTCACCTCACAGCAGTCCCCCAACCTCTAGTCTCTCTCCAGTTCCTTCCTCCTCTCAGGTGGCCGGGAGGCTGTGCAGCCCATTCTCTGCTTAGCGGCCATCCTGTCTGCAACTAGAATGCCACCACCCTCCCTTGGCCCAGCACCCCCACTTTTAGTGATGCTCTAAGAGCTGCCGCTCCCTTGACTGAAGGAGTACCAGGACCCCACCTGCCTTCTTGCTCTTTGTTGAGAGGAGAGAAATAGCCTGTCTCCATGATCACCAAACTTTATCCCTCCAAAATGCCATTCTGTCATCTAGATCTTCTGTTGATTTTGGGGGGTAGGGGGGAAACTGATTGTGAACTGTTGCAGTCCAAGGGGGTAACTGGCCCCAACTTTTGTCTTCTCCTTGAACTTAAAAAAAGCAAGGGTACCTAGAGCCTTTCATTCTCAAATTGGGCCTTATTTGTAATTTCAGGATACAGGTAATATCTGCACCTGATATCCTGTTAAATTGTAGGAATAGAAACCATTATGGAGAACCTGCCACGTGTCAGTCACGGAGCTGAATGCTGTACACATTTATCTTAATTAATTCCCCTGGGAACCTTATGAGGTCAGTGTTAGTGTTATCCCTATCATACAGGCCCCGAAGAGATTAAGTTACACACGGGAAAAGGAAGGCCCATGAGGTCAGCGGTGCTGAGGTACCCCCATCTGCCAATTCAGAGGCCTGGTGTTTATAGCTCACCACTGCCTCTCCTTCTACCCACCTGTATAACTATTAGAAAAGCATTATAGTGCATTAAAAAGTAACGTAGATTTAATGCTGCGTATCTTCCTTTTGAAGATGATTGAGTGCCCTAAGGACCCTCCTCTGATCAAGAACACATTAGCAGTTGGAAAGCCCCATAGATGCATTTCACCCAGTGCCTAAAGCTGGGTTTGGACCCAGGACTGTGTGTGCACCTGTCCTTAAAGCCTTTCAGCAACTCAGGCCTGCCCAGACCTGCCTACTACAGAGCCACAGAGAGCCTTTGTTCAGGGCACAGACGGCGGATGCCTGGGGCAGAGGCTGGGGCCTGAGTGAGCACTGTGGAGGTGCTGCTGATTGGGGGAACTTCCCTGGACTAGGTTTATCCACCCACTTCATGTTCCTGAAGGTTGAATGTGTCTGTTTGCTCTTGGAGACTCGCCAGAGCCTGGCCCTCCCATTGCCCTGGGGTGATGTTCAGGATCCCCCACCCACCCGTTCTGACACACGCCACCTGTCACAACCACCTGTAAACCTGCCCCTGTGAGGAAGGATGGCCTTTAGCTCCAGCCCTTTTGAGAACACCTGGGGTTTGTGCTATCTGGCCTTAAGCCTATCTTCCTGTAATGGAGAAGCAAACGTCAGAGGGTAAAGCTTATCCTATTTAGTCAGCAAACTTATGCTGGACACGTCCTGTATGCCAGACAGGGTGCTAGGCACTGGGGTACGTGAGAGTCGAGTCAGTGGTATAAAGCTAGCCTTAATTCCAGTTAATGAAAGCTGTGCTGGTGGTAAGTATAGTAGGTACGACTCAATGGTGACTAAAGAAAGGCAGATGAGCTCTGCTGGGGCAGGCAGGGTAAAGGTGCACTTCACAGAAGCAGTGATGTTTCCCCTGGGTTTCACAGGATGAATTACTCAACAAACAGAAAAGGAAAATGAAGGGAAATCTAGATAATACTAATACGATGGGGGCAAAGGGCTAGTTTTTATCAACCTTGTGGATTGGAGAAACGGAGGCAGGAAGATTCTTTCAGGTGAAAAGAATGAGTGTTTGGAGTGAAATCAGTTGCTGACTT